TCAAACCTTCTGATGCCTCTTTGAAGGGTGCTCATCTAAGTTTTTTCATTTGCACCTGAATTTCCACCATGTCAGTGTGTGATTCTAGCTACCATGTGCAGAGAAGTAAATGGATCATTTCAGGAGTTAACATTTTTCTTACCTGAAATTAGATTTTCAATAGTCTCTCTGCACACCTTCCCTATACTGGTGAACATTATTCTTGTTTCCTCTAAGAATAAAGTTAATTTCAAGAGCAAGTGCTTATGTTGCTCTCTTTTGGTGGAGGGTAACTGCCACATGATTATTACATCATGTATTAGTTGATTTGTGTCAAAAAACTTAATTTAGGTGAGAAATAGTTCAAGGCTAGTGGTGTACACAAAATCTCAACAGCAGGCATGAAAGAAATAGCTACTGTATGCATAGAAGTAAGTATTTGTTAGGAATACAGTTTTAGTTTAGGAAAATATTAATGCATAGCAAATCTAATATTGACACTGAAAGCATGACCTAAAGTTCTGGGGAAACAACAAACCTCTCTGGGTTGCCAAAGAAAGAAATTATAAGACATTGATGATCATCCTTTGCTAAAGAGTTGCATTATGCAACCAGTAAAATGAATGCTTTGCATAATCAACCATATTCAGATGTTATTGATGAGGAATGTGTTCACCTAATGAAGAAAGCACAACTACAGTATAACTTCCCAAGTAAAACTTATTTTGGAGAAAAAATTGTCTTTGATGTATGTAAAATAATGTAAATTGCATGCAAATGCTGATTAGATTTTGAACGTACATCAGTTTCTCTGATATCATGTATTTGATTATGCTCAACAGCAAACAGTAGTGTTATTAGTTTCACAAGACACTGGATCACAACACACATGAATTTACATGCTGATCTTAATGTCAAATATTTTCTTGGAAGTCATACTGGTAATGTAATAGGGAAAAAGATGGAAGATCTCAGAAACATATGGGAAATTAAAAGTAAAATATCTCCTAACAATAGATAATTGAGCACATGTTGTGAAATATTCTTACGACACTGGATTGCCAAGTGAACCTTGTGTTTTACCCTACATTATAACTTGCAATCAGTGAATGCTGTGGAATTCCAGTGAGCTGTAGTACATCTCATAGCAGTCAGTAGAAAGGTACACATTTCATCTACTTGTTTCTAGTGTCTTCAAAAGTAATTGGTGTAAATATGCCTCAAAGAACCTTAAAAGATGAAACTAACATACAATCATCTTGAAAGGCTTTTGGAACAAAACAGAGCAATATGAGTATGGTGCTGACATTACCAACCTTGACAATAATCAACAATTCCTAAAACATTGGCTTTATAGACTCTGTTATTTTCATAGTTATCTTAGCTGTGGCTATTATTCATCACTATCTGTCATGGATATCAAAACCTACTTTAAACTGGAAACACAATAAAGGCATTCTTGAGAGAAGGGCTTGAAATTAGATTTACTGGAATACAAAACAATCCTTGTTTTAAAGGAACAACTTTCAAAAACAGTGAAACAGAATTTGAAGGTCTGACATTACCAAATTCACATTCAAATGTGATTGAATGTAGAGACAGTGAAGGTGAATAGATGATTCCTCATCATGAGCACCATCATTTATTAAAAGTTTATGACAACAAACTCATTCTGGGTTTGCTATAGTAAAATACCTTCAGGCATTAATGATGTTGGTCAAACATGTCATTACAAAGAACTTGCTACCATCAGTGAAATTAATTTCTATTTTAATTTCTGCCAATTCCACAGCTACAGTTTAATCGATCATTGTGTTGGAAACTGAACAAAGATACATTTCCAATATCATCTCGGCACAAAGGTCTCTATCGGCCTTAAGCAGCATTGTGTATAATGAACACCTGTTCTCAGACACTGACAATATTTATGTGGTAAAGTATGTTTCCACAAATGCTGAATGGCTACCATTCTTGTATTACAACCTCAAACTCCTTAACATTAAGTACTGAACAGGGATATCCGAGTGAGAAAACCTAAAGAGAAAATGAACTAATTTTTATATTTGTGTATACAGACTTGTTATTTCCAATTTTTTTTTTCCTATTAATTTTGATTTTTATAACTGTAAAGAGTATTTTAGATTTTCTACTGACAAAATGTGGAGTTAAAAGTATCAGTCAAAAACATTGTATCCAAAAAAAACTTGCAACCTATTCTTAGAACAGATATTCAACTTCATTTCAACATATTTTTATCATAATTGCTACTATATTTATCTTTAGTTTAAGTGTCAACCTTAAGTTGTGATTGAATGTTCTACTTTATTATGCAAATATATTTGCTAATGAGAATACTTAGTTAAAAATTTCCTGTTTGGACATGTGTGAAAGCTACAAGAAAGCTTGATAGGAATGAATTTACCTATTTAACATAAATGTAATTTTTTATTATCAAATTAATAAATGGAATGTAAGTTTGGAAATACAAATTGGCATAAAGAAAACCACCAAAATTTTAAAATTTTACTTTTAATTTGTAGAAAAGAAGACCAAGTTTGTATACAACATCAGAAACTAAAATCATTACTGCTACGGATAAGAAGTTAAAGCACTATGCTACTTAGATCTGTAACACGTAAGGAGTAGTTGATGTTCCACTATTTTTATTTGCATTTAAACAATAGAATTTTCTGAAACAAGTTACAAAATTTTAATGTATAGATAATTGAAGGTAAAAGCAATGCTCCTATCAGTTGCTTTAAAACACAGGAGTTAGTTCACTGTTATTTGTCAATCAATGCACATACAGTACTGCTGGTTTGTGTTTAGCAATTCATACATTATACAGTCAACTGTACAGTGCAGATTAAGTTGTACTTCATATGATTTAAAGATTAATTAAATAAATATGCACAGGGTCAGTCAATTGGACCCACTCCCTATTGGAGAATCTATTTTGACTATAATTCTGAATTTATGAAGTGTATTGACACAAAACATCAGATGTGTTATGAAAGTATTTGTGTTCAAAATATGTCTGTGAATTGATGATGTTAGTCTGACTCAGACTCTTAAGTTTGAGTGTAAGGTGACATTTGTGTGAAGAATAGTAATACTTTTGTCCATCAAGCATTTTGCATAACCTCCAGAATCTCTGAAATGCATGTTTTTGGTGCTTTCGTTTTAATATCTCTAAATTTTATTAAATATTCCCCTACCATGAATTGTTGCTAAATCAGCAGTGTAGGGTAGAATGACTAGTTGATAACTCTGACATTAATTGCACAATAAGTGGAATTGTACTCTGTAAAAGGTCATGCCATGCACATTTTTACTCCACCCATGCACACAGGATCAAAATCATTATAGTTGTAAAATTTGTTGTTGTGTTTAATAGTAGGTTTGTTTAGACTTGTATTAGTTTGTTATTGACTTCCTTGTATTACTTAACTGCATGAATTGTAGATAAGGCATACCTTTCAGAAAGGGGAGTGTGCCAAAGTAATTTTATACATTCCATTTGACAACTATATGCAAATGGCTATATATATAGATAGATAGATAGATTAGGGATCTTTGTTACCCTGTTCATGTAAAGTTTAGGCTAGTTTTACTAATTTAAATTTTGTGCACAAAAGCTGTGTCTTACAAATGTGGTATGTTGCATATGAAAATGTTAGCTTGTAATTTATAATATAAATTATGCAAGTATTTCACTTTATCTTAATTTTGTCGGGTTAGAGTATAAATGTGTATTTTTGAAGTTGTATTTAAATCACTCTAAACAATTCCATAAAATTCAGAAACTAAAGGATGTGAACATATATCACATTTTATATTGCAGATTTTCTTCACTTGAAAATTTGGTTTGGTTTGTTTTGAATTTCGAGCAAAGCTACTAGAGACACTTGAAAAAGTATTTTATTTATTTATTCTATACTCCCAATTTTAGTGATTTTACTGTTGTTGTATTTTTTATTTAATTAAGTGATTATTTGTGTTTTTTCATACTTAACACAGTTGTATTTGCATGTCATTTTCAGATTAAAACTTAATATGCCAGCTCTACCTCCAAAGCAGCTTCTAAAACAAGGCTACGTTGGAGGCATTTACATGAAGACCTGCATCGCAGATCTTACAAAATGTTGGAACCCAACAGGAAAGAAAATCCTCACCTGAACAGGGTATTGGTTATTACTCAATTTATTGTACATGATAGTTTGATTTTTCTTTTTTTTTACATTGATCAGTTAAAAAAAGTGAGTGGCAATTCAGTCAAAAGAGTTTCATTCTCATCACTAGAAGACACTGGTTAAATGGTAAAATAACAAAATGTTAATAACTTAATTACAGTTAGTAATGCAATACTGGATTCCATCTACATGTATTGATATGATTCTGTACACTTGCAAAATTCAATGATCATTGTGATTTAACATTCTTTATAATTGTCACAGTATTTAGTGATATGAACATAAGTGATATCAGAAAGGATTTAATTGTATTTCCACAAAAAAATAAAAAATCTGTGCCATTTTATTATCTTTTAATAAATTGTATTTTGAATTGTTAGTAATTTCAAGTCTTTTTTTATACATGTATAACACATTTAGATGCTGAAATGAAAAATAAATATGAAATGGTGTGTATTCCGATCCAAATGCCAAATACCCTATGTCACTCCCTTGGGTGCTTGAAGGGTGCCATGTTTGGTTAAGATTGGCCAAAAGTGTGGGTGTGAAAAGTGGACATATAAATGACAAATCTGCTTTATAGATTAGTTCTATCTCTTCCCTCCCATACAGCTTTGAATATTTTAATTTTCTACACTTACAAAAATTATTTGTTATTGTTGATTTAGTGCATAAAATTAGAACTAATCTAAGTATCATAATCTTGTTAAACATTGTAAAATATCTTGAGTTTAATTGTTAATAGTTAGGGTACCTAGTTGACATATATTACTGCAACTTTACACATTGTGTAAAACAAGTCAACAATGCCCTTCACTGGTTGAATAGATATCTATTGTATGTTGTAAGAGTATGACTTGTTTATAAACGTTCTTATCAAAATAATTATTATATATGCAAAAATGGAATGTGCTTTAAAAAAGTTTGTTTTTCTATTTCTGTGGGTAGATCTATAAATTCATCTTTTATCAAATTTATCACCTGCTACCAAATCATTAAGTGGTATAGATGTAAGCAATGCAGTAAACTCGTATGTTTGAATTTTATCTGCTAATTATGTTTTATTTAAATTTTCTAGAGTTTTTAAGGCAGATTCATTATTTTTATTGTCCAGAAATCATGTCTACTATTTGCATTATGTTGTAATTTAACATATAACTGATTCAGTAATTTACTTAATAAAATTGTGTGTTGTTTTAGTATAGTACTTACTGAACTAGAAATAAAGTGAAATTTAATATATTTCTGTAATTTAGGAATCGCATATAGAATTTAAAAGTTTGAGTAGCATCTATCTCATCAGTTATAATTTCTGCATAGAAACATTTACAGATAAAGCCAAAATTGCAGTTGGCTTTATTGATAGGCAGAATAATATATTTCTCTTGTATTTTATGGATCTTAGCTTTAAGATAAAAATGTTAAATCTACTGGATATTTAGTTAAATTAATAAAAACTAATATTTCTTTAATTCTATTAATAACATAATATCTCCATTCTAAAAACAAATTTGGAGGATAATGTGTAGAATAATTAAGTTTCAAATCATAATCATCTACATTTTTCTTTATATAACTTGGGATGTCTACTTTTTTACATTTTGTAGCAATTGTATATTTAGCACCTTTTTCTATTATTTTCCTTAAAGAATTATCTTTAATTATATCCAAATTTCCAGTAATAATATGCTTATGAAAAGAAACTGCTAAATAATTTAAGTAGCAATCGCATGGTATATTCTTCACATTATTTATATCTAGACTATGTAAAACGTTTTTATAATTATATATAAGAGGTCCTATTGGAATTTCATATTTAATACTGATAATAGGTTTTAAATATTTTAAAGGAAAAAATATTATGTATAATGAAATCATGCAAAATTTTAGAAATTTTTAAATCATTGACAATTTTATGTCTAAAATTAATTACTATATATGATGATTTTCATATTGGTAATCCTTTGGTTATATCATTCAAATTATTTAGCTTAAGTCTAAATTTTAGCATCTAGCATTATTATATTGGAGCTGGAATGATAACTTCAAGGACAGTTTTGCTGTCCCCACCCCATGATGTATTGTATTCTATTATTTCTTGCTGCTTTTTATTGTCACTTATACTTTTTTTCTTTCCTTGTGAGCAACCACCTTTCTACATCTGGCAAAAAGTGGTAAAGATGTGTGTATGTTGAGCAACCACCTTTCTACATCTGGCAAAAAGTGGTAAAGATGTGTGTGTGTGTATAAAGAGCAACCACCTTTCTACATCTGGCAAAAAGTGGTAAAGATGTGTTTGTGTGTGTGTGTATGCATGCATGCATGCAAGTGTACTGATGTTGGAGTTAAAGTAAGTTTATAAGCTGTTATCTTGTTGATACTATGCCTCTATTATTCTTAATTGAAATTTGAGAATGTTTGATACTTCCGTTACTAAGATAAGTGTGTTTGGGACACAAGTTCAGTTAGCTGGTGAGTGTATTCTAGTTTGCTTTCAACTTGAATAGTTTATAATTCATTCCTAACAAACATTTAAAGCAGAATATTGACAAATAAAAGATACAATCTGCAGGTAGAGGTCATTATTTTATTTAAAAGTTACGCTGTAGTCCTGAAATAAAAAAGCTTGGGTCCATAAATATCGGCAGCTGCCAAAGATAGCCAGTTGGAGTTAAAATAATGTGAAGAATTGAGCTCCAAGACCTTCTAAAATGAATGATTACTTGATGCAGCACTGGTGGTGTGGGTGCTCAAGAAATATTGGCCCACCTGCATGTATCTCAATAGACTGTGGGCAATGTTCTGCTGCTCTAGCAATTAAACTGCTCATCACACAAGCATTGACAAGGATTACTTTCACACAATATTTCATAATTGTAAATATGTTTGATATAGAATACATTAATTTTTGTTTTCTACAGAAAATGTAAACCAGTTTAAAACAGTTTTATATTACAGGTATTCAAGAAGGAAGTCTACAATTCAGTAGTTTCTGTCCTATCCCCTTCCCCTAATTAAATTCTGTGATCGTTAACGTAAATCATATCACTGATAATATATATTTATGTTAAAGAGTGGGAGATAAGTATAATGAATAAAAGTGTTCTTTAATTAGTGTTTTTTGTTAGTATACCAAGAACTTTAGTTTTTGTGTACTTTGATGCAAATGAATAAATATTCTGAAGATTTTAAACTGTATGAAATAACTTGGCTTACAGCCTGTCATCACACATAAAATATTTGCTTGAGAATTAACCTTCAAGAAGGTGTGTGCAAATTTAATAGGTCTTGTAGCTTTGTTGTGGGAAAGCTACTTAACATTTTGTTTTTTTGGAAAGTTGCTCATAAACTTTAGATATTAAAGATGCAGAATACGAGATTTTGGAAGATATGTTCATCATAAAAGATTTTGTGTATCAAGTATTTGTGTGTTAAACAACCATAATACTGTAAATTTTTTAAAACTCTTTTGAAGTATTAATAAGTTGAATAAGTAATTTTATGCCTTTTACTGAATTTTTTTCAGATCCAATTAAGAAATAAGTCTTTACTGGGATAATGAAAATGCTGCGAAATGGCTTTCTTTGGGCTCTTTGCTTTCTGGCCATTTGGGGAATAGCACTTTTAGGATTGTTTCATCAGCCAGCAGTTCACCCACCATCAGATATGGCTTGGATGTGGGCACAAAAAGACTTGAGGAAGCTAGTTATTCCAAATAATAAAACACTATTACTTTCTCCGTCAGCTGGGTGTAATGATGTAGAAGGGAGGAAGCCATTTCTTGTCATCATTGTTTGTTCTGCTATTCCAAATTTTGTAGCTCGTCATACCATTAGAAACACATGGGGTCAGTTTGTCAAAATAAATAATAATGTTAAAATGTATTTTATGATTGGAAAAACTGATGATGTAAATTTGACTTCAAGAGTTCTAAAGGAAAGTGAACTTTATTCTGACATCATTCAAGAAGACTTCGTGGATTCGTATAATAATTTAACCATCAAGTCTGTTATGTTGTTGAAATGGGTGAACAACACTTGTCTCGATGCAAGCTATATTATGAAAACTGATGATGATATGTTTGTTAATATTTTCAATCTTATTAACTACCTTAAAAAGAAAGGTCACACAAAGTTACTCCTTGGGTGTCTTATCAGTGGTGCTGTGCCTGTGCGGGATAAGCACTCTAAGTGGTATATCCCCGACTCATTTTTTACTGCAAATGTTTATCCAGACTACCTTTCTGGCACTGGTTATGTGTTTTCTACAGACATTGTCCCCTCACTTTACCAAACTGCATTGGATATGCCTTTTTTCTATCTAGAAGATGTTTTCATAACGGGAATCTGTGCAAGTAAGTTGAAACTGTCTAGAGAAAATCATGATGGATTCAAGTTTTACAAAAGAAAGAACAATCCATGCATTTTTAGAAAAATAATCACAAGTCATAAAATGTCTGTAAAAGATCTCAGAAGTATGTGGTCTTCAATTCAAAATAAGACATATAAATGTTGATGAAGATGTTTTTGTATAAAATCCATATATAACCAGTGATTTTGCCAAATTGAAATAATATTAGGTGAAAGGTTAAATAATGAAAATAATGTTTAGTGGTGTTGGAATTAAGTTTACGTTGCAAGGCCTAAGGAAGCCATTATGGTTCCCATAACCCATCTACCCCTGTTTCAAAGTGTAGCTTGAAATAAAAATTAAAATAGAATGATTTTCTCTTCTCATCTTAACAAAAATTTTATTTATTGCCTTTTGCTAATCTTGGCAAACATAATTTATCAGACTTAGCTCTATTTATTATATTCCTTATTTCAAATTACCAATTGTAATGTTTTTTTGTATTATTTCCTATAACTCACCATCAATACAGGCACCTTTACATCAGTGCATTTTCACCTTGTAAATCGTAGTACAGTATTATTATTTTTTGTTTGTAATAAGTTAAGTACTAATTTTATATCCAACCTTTAGAAGTGGCAAACATTGTCATAACTTAGTTGTATTTTTGAAGGGGAAAAAAATTGTAGTTACAATTTATCCCCAACTGCATACCTTTACACTCACACCCTCCCCAAAGCCAAGTGTCTTTTTAATGTCATAAGTGTAGGCCTTTGTTACAAAACATATCCTCAACAATGTAATCAAATGCCAACATCTTTTTTATAGTTATCTTGGTACATAATAATTGTACAATAATGTTAAAAATGCTTTGACAAAGAAATACCACTAGGTTTAAAGACAGATGTTCAGAGTTCATTAACGTATTCTAATTATATTTAGTTTTTACATAGTGTACTAATTATTCATTTTCTGAATCTTACTGTTCTCTCTAGAAGCTTTCTAAAGAGCTTGAAACAGACCAAAAAGAACAGGGAGTCTGTGAGTAACATCCCTGTGGGGGTTGAAGGTGCAAAGGTCCAATATAGCAATACAAGTTAATGCCACCTAAAGCTGAAGGAACACAGTTGAAATAAATTTCTTTGTAGCTTCAGTAAATTATTTAGATTATTTTGACTTACCATCAAATAGAAATTCGACTGATACATCTCAATGCTTTATGCACAAACCAGTGAAATCATACTTATAGTTCTTTTGAATTGATAATGAGGATGAGAAAGGGGAGGAATGTAGTTCAGCTGTAAAAATCATCACAAATCATGAAAATTAATTATTTAGAAGGAAATGCTTTCTTTTTGTTGTTTGTGTTACTCTAAGCTACAAAATTTTAATAAACTCTTATCATTTAATTTTGTTTGTTTGTTTGTAATTAAGCACAAAGCTACACAATGGGCTATCTGTGCTCTGCCCACCACGGGTATCGAAACCCGGATTCTAGCGTTGTAAGTCCGCAGACATACCGCTGTGCCACTGGGGGGCCATTTAATTTTGTAAGAAGTTACTATTGTTTTCATCTTTAGTTTAGATGTACACTGTTTTGATTTATGGTAAGGTTACTACTATTAGTTCTTGTACTATAATTAAATTTTTTCTTTTTTATCATTGTTTGATATGTTTACAGATGTTTGCTGCCTCCTAACACATTTCTCACAAAGTTAAAAAACTTTCAGGTATTTAACCTTCAATAGGAAGCACTTACCCATGTTTTCAAATTTATGTTGAAGATAATAACTGAAAGTTATGCATTATAATGTTGTAACATATTCTTTTAAATCATTTGATGAAAATAAGGGCCAAATTTATCACAATTAATGATAACAAATTAGCGTGTTTCTTCTTTAACATTTGTACACTGTAAGTTGTAGGCACAAGTTTATAAATGGCTTTCAAATGAAATATGTTAACTGTATAATGACTAATGTAAAAATAAACTTTTTTATACATCTTCCCAGCTGACCATCAAGTAACTGAATATGACTGATAAGTAACACATATCCAAATACTTCACTGAAACTAAGTTTTGCTGAATAATTGGGACTATACCAACTGAAAACAAAACTGACTGTGATTTACTGATTCTTGTATCTATAATCTACTTTGAGCAAACTATTTCTTATCTAAGACAGCAGAAGAAAAAAAAAGCAAGTGAAAGATAAAGGTATTTTGTTAATGCTAAAGCTTAAACATGGAGAAAAAAATTAATACAGATGTACTTAACAGTGTCTGTTCCTTTTATGATAATGATAAGGATGTGCCAGATATAAAAATAAAGTTTTTCTTAGTGAAAGAAAATGGTGTAAAGAAACTGATTCACAACCACCTCATGTTTTGCAAATTATATGATGTTATGAAAACTTTCAACAGTATTGCCCTAATTTAAACAGGACTTTCAAAGTTTGTTCAGTCTAAAAAAACTAGTTTTATTAGTGGTAATGGTACACGTTATGTGTGTGTGTGTGTGTGTGTGTAAAATATATCAAATTAATTTTATTAATGTTAATTTTATGATCCTGGCTGCCCAGATGCTAAATTTCAGCAACTGGAAACCCTGAACCTTCACTCCTGTATTCATTTTCTTGCTCAGTTGTTTTACTGATAAACACAAAAAATGTATGAAGACAATAGCTAAACTATATATATATGTTGGTGTGTTCAAAGAAAATTAAGTAGATAAAGTTGTGAACAAAACAGTGAATATTCATGGCAGTTTTGAGACCATTAAAAATAACAAATTAATGAATTCTAGGATGACTTACTGGAAAATTTACTGATTCTATAGTTAAGGACAAACTACATTATTGAAAAACTATGAGCACACACACACACACACACACAGATGTATATATATATATATATATATATGGCAGTGTGTGTATCCTGAACCCATTTTAGCATAAAAGTATAACCTATATAAACTTTTTTTTTTTTGCCAAGCAACATGACAAAAGTCATTGTTTCATTGTTGGAGCACATTGTTACCAAAACACACTGGCTTTTCTATGTTAGAAGTTGTTATATAAGGAACCATTTCATTTCTATGTGGTTTTTTGCAGGTTTGCCTCGTTAAAAAGATGCATGCACATGCGTGTATGTCAGTGATTTCTATTTGTAATATAAGGAACCATTTTGTTTCTATGTGGCTTTTTGCTGGTTTGCCTCATTAGAAAGATACATGCACATGTGTGTCTGTCAGTGATTTCTATTTGTAATATAAGTAACCACTTCTTTTCTATGTGGTTTTTTGCTAGCTTGCTTCATAAAAAGATGCACATGGATAATTATTAATACCCAGGTGCACATCCTTAGGGTCCATTTAAGTATGGGTGCAAAATTTCAACTTTCTAAGTTCTTTCATCTTGAAGCTATGGCAGTCACACAGACATGCACGCGTGTGCATGAGTTTACACATGCAATTGCATATCTGTCTGTGATTTCTATTTGTAATATCAGGAACCACTACTTTTCTATATTTACCCCTGACCATATTTCCACCTATGTATATGTAATTTATCGCACAACTGTACTATCAAAACTATGTGAGCAAATGTAATTTCTGATTATGTGAAACGTGTGGTTCATTTTCTGTTTGCTAATAGATTGAGCTCCTCTGTGGTTCACATTCAAGTTTATCAAGCAAACTGAGACCACCCCTTCGGGTGAACTTGGTTCAGTTTGTTTGTCAGTTGAACTTTATCATTCACACTTTCCTCCAAACAAAACCATACTGACTCTGAAAAAAAGCCCCAGTGTGAACAGACCTTGAGTTATTCAAAACATGGTTAGCTACATATATTGTATATTTTTTTTCTGTATTTAAAATGAGAGTTGGGAAGAATCAAATATCATTTCGGAAGTTGTGGTCTGACTTCAGTTTTAACCCTTATACTAACAAAACTGATAAACAGACAGGACTTACAACAATCTTTGAATTGACACTGTAATGCATTATGTGATTATAATGGAAAAAAAGAAAGAGAATTTCAGTAAGAACTAATCTTGCCTAGTTAATTAAATGTTCAATTTCTACTTTTTTATCACTTCCGTATTATTTTACCCATGTACCTGGAGTCTTATCCAAAGCAGTTTCACATTAGTATCAACTTGCATGCCAATTTTCTTTAAAACCAGGGGAGGCAGTGTTTTATTAGTAGTTTAATTTGACATTCAATCACTATTTGTTTTGTTTTTTTATAAGTAAAGAAAAAGAAATGATTTATTTTGCTGGAAACAAAAGAACTTTTGGCTTGTGTTTACTTTGATGTTTCAAGTATTATGGAAATAAACCTAATTTTTATTCATATTTTAAATTAATTTGACAGTGTTTATGCAATTATCAAAAAACCATATGAAGGTGAAAAATTTTTTTTTTACTAAACTATATATTTGTGGCAGTGTTATGGGAACCATATGAATTTTGTTTCTAGGCCTGGTTATTTTAGTTATGTTGAGGCATCAAAATAAATACTTGGAGCACATTGTGATGTTATGGAACAAGATAATGAAATAAACCCTTTTAAGTAGCTAGAATATTGCATATAACTATTGGTTTAAGTAGATTTTGGTTTTAAGCTATAATAGTTTGAACTATAGTAAATAATAAGTAAAGTTTTATTATTAATGAATCTCATTTGTATTTTATAAACAAGTACCTTTCTGGATTAGATCAGGCCATTGTGAAAGTTTGAGAGATAAGATCTTTAATTTTTTTTTTTTTAATCATGTGATAGCGGCAGTTTACTTCTATTTGTGGGAGGAATATTTTTGTTGTGTGTGGTGTCTTAAGATACAAAATTGGTTTTTTTAATCATGTGATAGCGGCAGTTTACTTCTATTTGTGGAAGGAATATTTTTGTTGTGTGTGATGTCTGAAGTATTTAGAAGTAAAAACTAATGAAAATTTCAAAAGTAAACTTTACTTGGATTTCAGTAGAAAAGATTAACCTGAATAAGAGGAAATATCAAGAAAATACATTTCAGTTTCAAATGGTTAAGAAACCTCTATAAATATATGAATTTTAAATTAAAACCTTTCACAGGTTCTCATAGCAAGAATATAAGTTAGTATCCTTTCCCACTTGTTCATAAAGAAAAGTTGTAAAAGCAGCTTTTCACATGTTCTTGTAGTAAGAAACAGTGATCCTTTAGGCTTTCTTTGTTGTTCTTAAGAAGATAAAGTTAGTAACTTTACACTGATTTTTGGGAAAGGGGTTAACTTGTAGCCTTTATTTGCTTTTCCCACAAAAAGGCTGCAATATGGTAGCTCTCTCTCTCTTTTTGTTTGTTTCTTCTAGAAAAAAACGGTGCAAGTTATTAACTATTATTCTGCTTCACTTAGACTGAAGGTGCAGTACAATAGTACTGTAGTTTTCCTCTGGTTCTCATAAGACAAAATATAAACTAGATTTCTTAGCTCTGTGAATAATATTGCAAGTAAGCTGTGTATTTCACTTTTTTCTAGGAGAAGACTATACATAGTCTCTCACAGTTTTCCATGCAAGTAATTTTCTTCAACCTGCACTTGGGAAGAATTTACACATTACTAGTTTTTTCTCTAAAACTGTAAACAAGTTTCCCCCTTTTTTGTAGTTACTTTTTTTGTTTTTATTATGAAAAAGCTTCAAGTTAATACCCTTTTCCAACTCTTGTGGGATAAAGTTGTGAATTCTTGAATTATTCTAGCAGAATGTTGTAAGAAGTTCTATTTATGATGAAACTGCCGGTCTTTGTCTATCTTAGAAAGGTCTTAAAGGCATATGTGTATGTCTCTCTATATATTCTCCTAATTCTATGACATTTTATGGAGATCTGTTTGAAATAGATGAGCACAAATTCCTTGAGCAATTCAAACACTTCTTTTTAGATTTTGGCTTTCTTGGTAGAGAAAAATCTATTGCAAGATAAGCAGTTCAATATTACTGATCTCTAGAAGAGTGAAACTGAAAAAAGGTCCACATTTGTGAGTTAAAGCTAAGTATATTCTTTTTAAATAAGAACAATGTTACTAAGTATGCATTACAATGTGTAATTCAAAAAATTAAGGTTGCTGAAGAATATCACATGAAGTATGAAAATTTGTTTGCTATATTAACTATAAGTGTAAATGAGGCACCTGTTCAGAAAAATGTTAATATAAAAAAATGGAAAAGTAGAAGGTTGTTTTTAGAAACAAAAAAGAATATTTTTGTAAAGGTATTTATTTATTGGACTTCACTTATTTATAAACTGTAATGTGAACTATGTTTTCAAGTGCTTAAAAAATACACAGTTTATATATATTAATCATTGTCTATTCATTCAAGGCTGCTTAGAAAATCTAAACATGTTGATTTATTTTTCAGAACTATTTGATACTTGCATGATAAACATAGAAAAAAAATTAAGGTAATGCCTCTAAGACAAATGAATCAATTGCAAAACTGTATTAAACTAACTAGTAAAATATATAAGGCAGAAATGGTATAAAGTCAGTTATTTCTGTTTAATAATTACATTGATATCTCATGTGTTCCTTCCTTACTTGTATTTCTTGTTTGAAGATTGTTTTTAAATAAAGAGTTGTTTGAGCTCATGCACTTTTCCATGCTTCACTATCTTTCCATCAGAAACTGTACACAACTGGTTATAATTATCTACTCATTCTTTAGCCTTACTATAGATGAAATCTTAAAGCATGGATTTTTATGAGGAAAAGTATTGTATAGTAATTTCAATATATTTAAACTTATTCTAACCCTTTTTAGATTTTCGATAGTAGATTTAGGCTTAGTGTTCATGATGAGGAAACACACACACACACACACACACACACACACACACACACACACAGGCTGACAACAACCTATTTAAAACTTTGGCAGATCTTGGAACAATAATACTGAATAACATTTTGAGAACATGGAATCTTTTACAAGGTTAATAGTAATTTACTGGATGATCCAAGTAGGATCA